ATATTCTGACTTGGTGTTTGAATCGGAACACATTGCCAAAAATCGTGCGTCGGCAGAGTGAAACGCATCGTCATCGAATGCAATAAGCCACTATGACGATCAACTGCAACGAGCAATAGTCACGAACCGGAATTGTTGTTGCAATATTTTCACCGGCGACCACGACGCCGTGCACATCGCATCTCGAGGCACGATTCTTCTGACCCCATTTCGAGCGCGCTGCCTCCCCCAGGCGGCCATGTCGCGCATAGAGACCGAACTCGTGGCTGAGCGCCAGGCCAAGGCGTCCTCCCTGGGGTCCCTGGCCCGTGGCGGCTCCTCCACGCCGGAGGCCTGGACCCTGGGTGCCGTCCAGCACGGCCAGGCCACGCCCAGCTCCTCCCGCCTCTCGGTCCTGAGCAGCAGGGCCCAGAGCCTGAGGAGGATTGGCAGCCCGCGGGCAAAGGCGCGCCGCAGCCAGTCGGCCTTTCCGTCTCTGGGGCGCAGGCCTTCGGTCGCGGGGAGACTGACGCCAACGTACGACAGGGTGGGAAGCGTCAGGTCCTTGAGGACCTCGGGGGTGGGGGCCAGGAAGGCGGTGCAGTGGGCGGGCGGGGAGGGCGGGGTGCCGCCGGCGATGGCTGGGTTGGGACCACCGTTGCTGGGGGAAGGAGGGGTGTCCGGATTCGTAGACCATCAGCCGTCGTGGCGGCCCTGAGGAGGGGTGGGGGCCGTCGTGGCGGGGGCTCCGTTGATGAGGTCTGCAATAGAGCTTTTGGGCGCTGTGGAAGCACAAAGGACGGAAGGAGTGGCCAATTCTTCCGAACTCATTGGCCGGCTTCGGTCGCCGTTGTGTGGTAAAGCGGCGCGGGGAGTGCTTGACTTGCGGTTGGCAGGCAGCGGAGGCGGGTTCACAGATTATGGTGGGGGCCGCATAGGACGTGTTTTTGAGGAGCATAGCTCGTGTTGGTATCAGGTCGACTCTTGCGCCCTTGAGGCCCGAGGCGAACACCTAACAGTGTTAGGCCCGGTGCTGTGCACGGTCGGTGATGGTGGCTCGTTTCCAATGTGAATATTCGGTGTGTGGAATGGGTGTGCATCGCAAAAAGCACTAGCAGAAACAATAGGAACAAATAGCACTTTTTGCGAACGCGTATGTATGCATTTCATCAGCGTTACGCATGCCCAAAACACGAAAACAACCTAAACCCGTAAACTTTGCACACATTTGAACGGGAGTTATCGGGCCATTTTTTTCCTAGTAACACTGCCGTGTCGACTAAGTTTGGTCCTGGAGAGTGCATTTGAAGCCATGCTTGGATGATCGAATTGTGTGAGGCTCTGAGCGCAGGCGAAGTCGAGGGGATGATGCAGGGCATCTGCGAGACTCACGCTGGCAGATATTACTTGTTCCGGGCAGTTGTTTTCGGTGTTTGAGCAGTCTTACAAGTTCCGGAAACCATGCGTTCGACAGGGCGAATGTTCAGCCTGTCACACCAGTCAACACATTTATTGCATGAGCTTAGACGTTTAAATACATGATGGTACCAGATAACACAACACTACTCTGTTTCATTTACCAAATTTCATTCGTGTCAAAGCCGTCGTGTCGAGGGACTATGACCCACCACCGCCATAAGCACCCGTGGGGGACAGTGGGCAATTTTTCGCCAAAATATCAATACAAAATCTGGTGCACGTTAAGCGCGAAAGGGCGTTTAGATTATGTGTGGCATGGAAGAGCGAAATTTCATGGTGTGAAAGAATCAGGAATCCATTTGCAGCGCCGAATGTCGCGGACCAGAATATGGAGCGATTGGCTTGGCAGGCTTGCTGCTTGCTTTTCGGGCACCATATTTATGGCAACATAATTACATTTAATTGCGCGTGAGCACAAGGACGATCATACTTACGTGCATACCTGTGCATAATAGATACTTTGGGCGAACCGTTGGCCGCCAGCAGGCTTGGTCTTTACAGGGTAAACACTTTTGTATTTACAACTATTTGTGCGCGAAAGTGTTTTTTTTCTACACGTAAATAGCTGTAAAAGTGGGTGAGAATGGGTAAAAATGGGAGCTGTGTACTTAAAGACAGTACCGTATTTACCTGGTATTAGTAGGCGCCCCCTATTAGTATCCACCTCACTCTTTGGGGGCGGAAACCACGTTAGTATCCTCAAACCGGTGTTAATATCCACCCCAAAACGTAGACAGAAACGAGCGAAGGCATGGATGGTGGCAAGGCAAGGCGGCGGCTGGCGTTGGACAATGCTGCTCAGTCTAGGCCAAACCGCGTTCCCTGCGATTCGCACATCGACGGGGACGATCGGGTCGGTGTGGATGCTCTCGAGGGAGATGTCGGAATGGGCCCGCGAAAGGTCACGTGGTCGACTGCGCAGGATCCCAGGGCAGCGACTGACGCCGTGGGGCTCGATCAAAGAAGCGGTCGAGAAATTAAAGCCGCCCTGGTTTTTCGATTGAGTTAACCTGCTCTCCGGCCGGCCAGAGCAGGTTCTGGCCTGGCGCCTGCCAAGAGCCCTCCAAGGCCAGCGCCAGGAATGGGCAGGCGACGGCGCTGGTTGGGACGGCTGCCGGTGTGAGACCCCGCCTGGCAAAACGCTGCAAAGGTCGGGCCCATCCCCAATTCGTACATCCCACTACCACCAGGCCACCAACCCAATCACAAATCCCATCAGCCTTCCCAGCCGCCATGAACCCGGGAAAACGCCGCGTGTCCAGCCCATGGTCGCGACGTGGCGTCCCAACGAGTCGAGATCCATGTCAGTCCTCGTTCTTTGCATTGCAGATATAAACACGCCTCGAGCATTTCAGCGAACCCCTGTTGGCCCAAATCGCCAGTCGCCACCATGTGGTGGCGACCTGGGTGGTGCACCAGGTGCACCTGCCAACACCTGCCTGGTGCAGCCCCAAGTCAAGGTCGCTAGCTCCCGTGAAGAGGCTGACAACATCCCGCAATAGCACAGCCATTTTGCCCATTTCTGGGCATTTCATGGCCTATTTGTCAACAAATTTTTTTGCCTACTCTTTGGATCAGGGGTCCAAACCGCGTTAGTATACATGACCCACTATTAATATGCACCGCTCAGTTTTGGGGTCCAATACACGCCTACTAATACCGGGTAAATACTGTACATACAGACTGAGGGAGTCCGGGGAGCGGCATATAGACGCGTTGAAATATGCGCAAAACGATGTAACCTCGGCGACGTTGTTGCCCTTGCTGAAGGTGAGGTGTGCTCTGTGTTGCCGGTGCTGGAGAGAGTGGGGGATTGGTCGTTGATTGGTACATCATCATGTAATCTGGGCGTGTTGACGAGCCATAAATATCCATAAATACAAGCTGTAAAAATTGCCGTTTCTCTATTTACACGCTTTTGTGCGTAAAAACGTAAACGTAAAATGGAGCCGTAAACATAAAGACCAAGCCTGGCCGCCGGCACGACCACTATTCATTGGATATTTTCTGATATTTGTCTCTACAACACCATCAGTACTTCATCCCCCTCACCCTCACAAAGGATGATAACGTTGTCAAGCAAATGCTTATTATCCACCCACTAGAGGCCCTGATGCCAGCGCGGGGGCAGAATCGGCAGTCCTCATTGCCGTTCACAAGAACGCCGCTGCGATGGCAGGCCGCCATTGGTGAGCAGGTGGTCTGCCCAATATGGATTCCATATTCGAACTTCCGAAGTTCGAAAGGGGATCGTTCCCCCCTCTTGCTTCCACATAGATGCGTTTGGAGAGGGCGACATTCAACCACGGACACACCTGAGCTGCAGGTCCGGGATGGCATATTCATGCAGATTGACCAGAATTACGCCCAAGCAGGGAATATCCATAATTACGTGCAATTTACGCAATTACGTGCAATTGTGCGCAAGTATAAGCGTCACTGCGCTCGCGTAACCAACCTGCTCCTTGGCCCTGTGTGCTTGATTCTGTTCGCCGCCTACCTTCTCCTACACACACGATGGGCGAATCTACAACGAGGCCAGTCCATGGCGCCTTCCACCATCCGTTTCAAAAGCAATGCCCGTCACACCAAAGCCAAGGCCACACGACAAACTTAGCAGTCCAGGTCTCATTCAGTGCAGCACACCGGCAGGGCAATTGGGCCGAGGTACTGGCGCTTGCGGTCAAAGCCAGGAACGCAGAAAATGGAAAACTGTGCCCAATGCGCGGTTATCCCCACATCGAACACGAACAGCCACCCTTCCTCACATTGACTGCGTTGGCTCGAAGCCCTGGCAATGAATGCGGGCAGCTGCTGGCGCCTGCCGCTCCGGCCCCTCGGCCCCCGCCGTCGTCCACCAGCATGCGCAGCTCCGTAAACGGGCGGCGGGCCGCGCTGCGTGATCCGAGCCAGTCGCGCCACAGCGCCCCCGCGCCCGTCGGCGATGCTGTGGAGGGCGCTGGCGAGCATCGGGCCGGCGGCCGCCCTGGCTAACTGCCGATGGGGCAGAGCGCCGTTGATGGTGATCGGAGGACGCCTGCGATCCGAATGGGGCCACCGGGGGCTGTTGCTCTCCAATGAGAGGTGGGTCTCCGTTGTCGGGCTGCCGTAATGGCGGGCATGGGATTGCGGACGGAATGGTTTGAGGACGTCAGCTTGCTTCCGAAGCTCCAATCGATGTTATGTTTCTGGGGAGGCTCGTCGTCGAGGGGTTTGATTGCCAGCACCAGCGCTTTGTAGACCCGCGGCGTGGGCCTTCGGCGGGAAAGGGAATTACTGATGGGGCTAATGGGAGCCAGGAGGGCTTGATTTGAGCGCAGCTCTTGACTGTTGAGTTTTGCTACTGCAGCCTGGCATCAGCCCCTGCATCGTCTAGTGTGGGATCCACGAGCTGCCAGTATTCTAGCGCAAGCTCTGCACAGGTTGGTGGCGGTGTTGAAATAAATGCACGTCTTGGATGAAGTGCCTATAAACCAAGTAGATTCTTCATTCCAGCGTGTTATGGCATTCAATAGTCCAGGTGCCCTCTCCATTCCAACGCAATGAAGGAGGATTTTCTGCCATCTCGCAAGAAGATGCAGGGGGAAGTAAGCCCAAAAGATTGGAATCATGGAAACGAATGCACCCTGGCACAGACAGAAGTGCCATGCTCAGGGTTTGCTGGCAAACCAGAAGCCACAGCATATCACAGTGTTTCTTTTGTTTTGGCGATCCAGATATCTTCCTTCTTATTCCTGTTTGTCCAATTGTGTGGAGGTTCATTGCTACAAACACTTTCTTCTGTTCTGTGGTGCTGTGCTGAAGTAGGCCTTGGAGTGTTTTCTGAAAGAATTGTAATGCCACAGTAGGCCGCTAGGCACCAGGCTCTGTCTGACTATGTGAGATCATTGGAGACAGCGTGTTGTTGTTGAGGATGCATTCATTCACACAAGCTCTGCCTTGTACCAGCAAGTCTTCAAAGGTCAATGATCGTAAGTTTCCTCCATTTCTGGTGCGTTCATGTCCATCTGAAAGCCTGAAAGGTGATGCACAGGAAAGGACTGATCCCCACTAAACTGCAGCAAAACATTACCTGAGACTTTGTTCCAAAATTCCTAATTTCTGATTGGGGATTGATGTTACATCAAGCCCAAGGTTCAGCTGCCAGCCCTTCCTTGCACATTAAATGTAGTTACTGTGCCACCTCACAGAAATGGAAGGTAACGTGAAGCCTAGAAAATCGATCTTGCAAACCAGTAAGTCCTTGTTTCAACCCGATGTTTCTGTTCCACTGTGTGATCCATTGCCATTACTTTTTATACATGGGTGACTAAAGCAGGAAAATGTGGAGCCTGCATCAGCACCTGAAAGGTCCAGCAAGCAGGAACCCAGTCTGCAGGACGTGGTGGTCAGATATTCCAGGATGGCCCTCAGCAAGATTCATGAGTTTGATGCAAGCCAGAAGGACGAGTGCAGGAATGCAGTTGAGCAAGGTCTGAGGAGGCTCAGAAGGGTCCTCAGGCTGCGAGAAGAGGAGATTACCATGAAGGTGGTGGCAACCGCCCTGGAACGTGCCACAAAAATAATATTCCACTCGGTGGCACCTTACGACTTCATGCGAGGCAATGGGGTCCTTTTCAAGAAACTGATGTGCATGGCTGTGCTGAACGCTCATGATCTGGACCCTGGCTCAGCTGTCAAGACAGTTCTGAGCATGGAGAAGATTGGCCGACAGTCATTGCGGCTGCACGTCCACGAGGGTGGCACGCTGGGTGACGTACTGTCTCAGCTGTCTGACCACGCACTCTCGAACATGCAAGACTACAAGCATGAGGAGCTGATCGTCCTGTTGTGTGCGTTTGCAAAACTTGAGTTTACAGGAGGCAGAAATCTTTTAGATCACGTCCTGCCTGTGGTGTTGGATCAGATCGGCAACCTCAGCCCCAAGACTGTGGCAAAATTGGGATGGACCCTGGGGAGGTACGATCTGTCCTCTGCCGATATCCCTCCCACAACTCTGCGTGCCATTCTCAGGCAGGTGAAGGCCAGGTTCAAGAAGTTCAGCACCCTCGATCTGTGCAGCACAGCCTGGGGCCTGGCCCGCCTCAACTGCGAGGACGCTGTCCCGCTGCTGCAGGCAATCCTGGACACGGTGCATTCCAGAAAGGAGGAGTTCACCCCTCTTGCAGTATCAAGGCTGGTGGCAGCATGCGACCTGCTCTCCTACCACCCTGGTGATGGGACTCTGGACCTACTTGCCACCCTCTATGCCAAGCAGGAGGCCATCCTGACCCTTCCGTGCCTGGCTGAGGGGATGGCCGGGTTCACAAACCTTGGCTACAAGGCATCAAAGCTGTATGCCGCCGCTGCCAGGACTGCCCTCGGGCCACAGAAGAAGCTGCCGCACGACCCTGGGGACGTCACCAAGTTCCTAGGCGTCATGTCCCAGTACAGTGGCACACAGTACATCGACCAAACCCTGGATGCGGCACTGTGGACACTGGGACGCCGCCACATCAGGGCATCCACCAAATGGGATCTGGACAGCCACAAGAGGTCGGAGCTTTTTCCTGCTGTGATTCACAGCCACGTTCAAATGGACGGGCGGCGAGGCACCAACTTTGTGTGGAAGAACCAAGGGGAGAGGCTGTGCTTCGAGGCCTGGAGGGACATCCAGAAGCAGAGGAAGCCCCACCCGATCATCGATGACGTGAGGGGCGTGCTTGAAGGGATGGGACACATCTGCGATGTGCCTGGGCTGGTTGGCGATGGCCTCTTTGTCACAGATGGCGTTGTGCACACCGGGAGGAGGAGTCTGGCCATTATGATCGTGCTCAAGTCGCACGTGTTTAGGAACAACCCCCGCCGCCTGAGGGGGGACTTCGTGTGGATGCGCAGGGCTCTGGGCCTGCTCGGGTGGCCAGTGTTGAGCATCGCAGCTGCAAAGTGGGGTCGGCTGGAGACCCAAGGGGAGAAGGAGGAGTATGTGGCCCAGAAGCTGTCGGATGTTCAGGGCACTGTGAAGGCGCTGTATTACAGGGAGGCCTTTTGGAACAGGATGGAGGACATCAGGGCAAGGGCCAGGGAAGGGGGCTCTGGCGATGATGGTGCTTGGGGCCATGGCAGTGTGGTGCCGCAGGCGACGGTGGAGGTGGCGGATGTGGAGGCAGTGCAGGCTCAGAAATACGATGAGCCAGAAGCAGAGGAGGCTAAAATCCATGAAACAACGCCATTGGAGGCAGTGTTGACTGAGCTATGCGAAGAAAGGGAGTCAGGCGTACTGTTGAATCAGCCGCTCTATGGGCCCAAGTGCCAAGAACAGGGGGCGCTTCAGTTTCGCAAGGATTATACTAATGGTCGGGACTGTCAGAACCACGTAGGTGACCGCGGGCAATCTATGGTTGGATTAAATCAGGAGCTGGATGTGAGCGTTGACGTGGATGCACAACGAACAGAACAGGAGAGTGAACAGGGGACCACTCGTGCAGAATCTGTTGTTTCCTGATTCATTCGTGCGTTGGATCAGGGAGTGGTCTTTCGTAGAGTTTGATTGTATTTAGTTGCCAAGAGGACAGCTTGGAGATCTGGATTGTTGGGGACTATGGGGATTACAACGGAAAATGCACCACACACTTGAATGTCAGATGGTGTCTGTGCACATATTGACAAGCACAGCCGGCCTACAGTCGGCTTTAATATTGATTGTGGCGAGTGTATGGGTCGCCCTGGTACACGCTTCTGAGCATCGGGGGAAAGGTAGGGATCATGCTATGCTATGCTACGTTGTTTCGGTACTTCACTGTGTCATGTGCGATTGGCCCACTCTTCGTAAATGGCTGCAGCGAAGAAGCTCTGGCATCACCCCGAACACACTGTGTCTACTCTTGTGGCATCCTTTTGCTGCTGCATGGTCTGAAAATGCTTCTGCCGTGCCTCGCTATCCCTGGAATGTTCTTTCATTTCTTTTCTGGCGGGATGGAACTTGGGTCCCAAGTCGATCCTCGCGGAGGATCGGCGTCAGGAGAACGAAAACCTGGTTTCAGTTGTGAGCTTCCCGAATGGGACTCTTGAAGCGGCCATTTTGCCGTCAATTCGGGACACCCTTGCCTCCGCCTGGTGCATGTTTTGTTGCCGCCCTTAATGCACGGCGTTGTGCGTTGCGACCCGCCCTCAGAGGGATGCAAGCCATCGCTCACGGCAATGCAACGGAGTCCCACCTCCACTTGACCATATGGGGTGCCCCCATTCTATGATATGTTTCCGCTGAAGATTTCCTTTGCCCGCCTGGCTCTCAAGGTCGACCAGTTGATTCTCATTCCATCTGTGGCGTGCTTTACCATCCTGATCAAAACACAATGTTTAAAATTCTACTGTATGTTACGCTTTCCGGCTTGATCGAGAATCACAAGGGAAAGAAATCGAGGAAGCCCAGCCTGCGAACCGTATGACGGTCACATGATGCACCGCACAAGTCAGGGCGCAAAGAAAACGCTGGGGTCCCACTTTATGCAGGATCCACTTGTCTTGTAGAGACATGGTTCCTTTGCGGAGAGAAGTGTTATCATATTTGGGACGGAGCGTTGTGCACAGAAATGGTTTCGATACGTTCAATGCATGTCGTGGAGCGTTGGGCAAGCGTGAAGGAAAGTGCTCGGGCTGCCAATAGAAAAAGTGCTCTGAGTACGGTAGACAATTTCCATCGTATTGGTGCATTTGCATCTGGTGGACTGAGAGAGGGAGTGAAGCAAAATAAATGACTGCCGTGGGCTCCCCTGAAATATTGAGACAGGCTGCCAATCATGCCAAAACCTGTCAAGACCACTTGTTTGAAACCAGATCTGTGCTCTACCTAAACGTGTGCCGAGAATGCTCTAGTTCCTTGGCCCCAAATCCACAGATCATTCTTGGATCAACAGGTCCAAGACTGTCGATAGAACGACTGCCAAAGCCAAGACCGACAGTCTTCAAAGACTGCCTGTGGCGTCCGCAACGTCCATCCATATCCCCTTCATCAGAAACTTGCTAGCACTTTCATTCTTCCATGTCACAATGCATCCCATTGTGACAATGAACAAACCATGCGATAAGATCAACAACACTGATCTGGAATTCATGCCCAACATCGCCTCTAAGGTGCAAGGGCAGTATTTGCCCATGCTTGTATGACAAATGTAATCAAAAATTTTGAGCCGCAATGCACCCTCTCTCCATAGCCCCCAATAGAAGCACCCGACTCAGCACTGACTCAGCGCCGTAGCTCTTTATGCTCATTCGTAAATTGCGTTCTTCTGCAGTCGTTGCAAGAAGGCGCTTGAGCCCAGGCTGCGTCCTGCAAGACGCCAGAATAGCCAAAGATATGGCCCCCAAAGCCATAATGACTAATGTCATGGCGGATAGTATATTTACCTCACTTGGAAGCCTCACATCCCCACAAGCTCGCCATACTGGAGCTTCACGCCTGCCTGGGGTGCTCCAAACTGGGGTGCTCCCCACCCCCTCTCCACCCAGCCTGTTGAGCTTCCACAAAGCTTGTCGGCACCGTTGGCATATTTTCACCACTTCTCTGTGATGGGCACTGCAACCCCATTTGCCCGTGGCTTCCCATTGTCCCAGGTTTGGTATGTCCACTTGGCCATGCCAAAACGTGTTTTAGCACGAGTACAATTGAAGCTAATTGCTCGATTCTGTGCGAGGGCAACCGCCCACTGGCCATTGCACAAACCCAAGCAATGTGTATACACCGTCGCGTTTCATGCATGTCATGCCAGCAACGAGTCGGGATGTCATCCCAATTGGGAAAATGACAAAAGGGGGTCCTCGGACAAGTGCGTGTACATTAAACGCATTGTCAGGCCGGCGCCAGACTGGCGTCGGTCGGCAAGCCGGTCCTACTAGGGGCGACATTGCAGAAGACCCCGTTTTGTCAAACGCCACCCCGCAGCAGACCCACTTTTGTCAATTTCTCTCTTGGGGTGTTGTAGGGGTTTGTGGGGTCTTTACGATGCCACTTAAATGCCCACACCTACCTTTGGTATACCAATAAAATGAACTTGTTTTGGTTGTGGTTTTTCACAACTCAGTCATGAAAACTGTCAGTATGGCATGGCTTTTATGCTTAAGGGTCGTTTTCCAAATGGATGTTGCCAATGACTTCACTTAACAAAAGAGCTCTTACAAAATCAATGTGCTGCAAGTGTCTTGCATCTGTCAAAAATTTTGTATTGTAGACTTCAGCTTTCAGAAAACTTACAAACAGATAGAACATTCACACCACAAGAATCACAACAGAATGTTCAAAGTTGTGGGTAGCATCTCCAATTGTGATTGGATGCACCACAATGCCCATGGCGATATGTCTTCTTTGGTTGTCCACCTTCACCGGCTGACCGAATCCTCCATTGAGCACAATGTCAATCTCATTTACAAATTGCTTGACCGCTGGCAATTTGTCCTGAAGGTCCGTCCGCTGCCCATCCCTGAGTCTGCATCGTATCTCACGATGTTCCCGACTATTCTGCAGGCCTAAGATTGTTGGAGTCACTGAATATCGCCCATAGTTTAGATAAAAGGGCGTATACTTTGTGCTCCCCTGCTTTGAGTTGTTTATAGCAAACTCTACCAATGGGAGATGTAAATCCCACTGGTCCTGCTGTGGGCCAACATAGTGGCATAGCGTATCTTCTAGAATCCTGTTCATCCGTTCTGTTTGACCATCAGTTTGCGGATGGTACGCTGCACTCAGCGCCTGGTCGATCTCCAATTGCTCCATAAGGGCCTTGAAGAACTTTGATGTAAACTGTGTTCCGCGGTCTGATATTAGTGTCTCACACATACCATGGTGTCTAAACACATGGTCTACAAATAGTCTAGCGGTCCCCACCGCATCGACGTCTGATGTTGTGAGGGCCATTCTTACCATCTTGGTAAGCCTATCTACAAAAACACAGATAGCGTCGTGGCCGCTTCTGGTCCTGGGTAACTGAGTGATGAAGTCTATTGAAACACTTTCCCACCGTGCATTCGGAATAGGAAGGGGTCTCAGCAAACCCTGAGGTCTCTCTGCACGATGCTTGTTCCGTTGGCAAACATCGCAAGCCTGGATGTACTTTCTGATATATTCACGCATGTTTGGCCACCAAAACGTTCGGCTAACTTGAGCCTCAATCTTAGTGGTACCAAAGTGACCTGAGTATGGGCAATCGTGGCACTGCCTGCACACTTCTGCCCTTAGATCCGTAACGGAATCCCCCATAGGGCCTGTACCAGGGACGAAGATCTTTGACCCACGATACCAAAGATCCTCGTGCTGCATGAGGACACCTGACTTCTGCAATCTGATACAGTCAGGGTCCTGGGTGCAGCCTACAGCCAGACGTTGAGTCAGATGAGTGAGTGACCCTGGGGGAGCGGATGGGCGGCCCAAGGCATGCACAGTCTGAACCCCGTCCCTTGCACCGCTGGGGGCTGTCACGGCAGAATCGCACGGGATATGACTAATCGGGTCTGCTACATTCAGTCGCCCTGGCCTGTATTCCCACATGTAACGAAACTGCTGGAGATATTCTGACCAGCGAACCTGCCTCCTTCCCAACATCTACTGGCTATCTAAGTACGTGTTTGGACAATGGTCTGTCACCATCACCATGTCCGAGCCTTCTAGATAGCATCGCCAGACCCGAAGTGCATGCACCACACCTAGAAGCTCTTTTTCTATTACTGAATAATTAAGCTCTGCTTGACCGAGCTTTCTGCTTTCAAATGCCAGAGGGTGCTTGTCTTGTAGTAAGACAGCCCCTATTGCTGTGTCACTGGCATCTGCCACTACCTCGAAAGGTTTATCAAATACTGGCATACGCAATACTGGTGCGTGTGTCAGGTCCTATTTGACACCTTGGAATGCTTCCTCACAAGCGTCTGTCCACTCAAAAACGTGGCCTGCCTTTGTTAAATCTGTTACTGGTGCTACTCTCTTTGAGTAACCCTGCATGAATTTCCGAAAGTAATTTGCTAATCCCAAGAACTGGCGTACCCCCCGTACGTCCTTGGGTCTTGGCCAATCATTGACCACCTGTGTCTTTTCGGGATTCACGCGAATTCCATCTGCTGATATGATGTGTCCCAAGTACTTGATTGAAGTCTGATTAAAGTGGCATTTATGCAAACGTGCATAAAACTTTTGTGCCCTCAGGACCTCAAGGACCTGCCTGATATGGGTTAAATGCTCTTCTGCATTCCTGGAAAAGATTAATATATCGTCCAGATATACAAGGACGAACTTCCCAATATAGGGTCTGAATATATCATTCATAACGCGCTGAAATATTGCAGGCGCGTTTGTTAGACTGAATGGGAGCACTTTAAATTCATAGAGTCCCATCGGTGTCTTAAAGGCTGTTTTTCCACAATCTGATTCCTGTATTCTGATCTGATAGTACCCCTGCATCAAATCCACAGCGCTAAATACTTTAGCATTGCGAAGTTGATCCAGGATATCATCCACTCTTGGAATTGGGTATTGGTTTCTGATGGTTGCCTTGTTTAAGGCCCAATAATATATGCACATTCTAAATGTTCCATTGGGTTTCCTGACAAATAAGACAGGAGCCCCAAACGGACTACTGCTTGGCTCTATCAGCCCTCTTTTGAGTAAATACTCAACCTGCTCCTGCATTTCTTCTAACTCTGCAGGATTGTATCTAAACATTGGTCTGTTCAAAGGTCTGGTACCTTCCTGCAATGGTATGGATATAGCTGCTTCTCTATTTGGTGGTAATCCTAGAATACTATCTGGGAACACATCAGAATATTCATCCAACAGTGCTTTCAGGCACTGAGGATCGACCTGGTATTCTGTGGTGTTGTCACTGACCGGTTCTCGAGGCGGAGGTGGGCCCATTTTGGAGTCCACATCTGGTTCCGGTTCCTCACGTTCTAATGCTCTAACCATCACAAAACAAGATGGACAACCCTTTCGGACACTGCGCCGAACCTGAATGTGGGTTAACAACTTTGAGTCAGCCCGATACTCAACACATGCTGCAAGGTTTGTTTGTAATACCACACGCCTGGCA